AGCGATGCCAGGAGCCCCTAGTAGCGCCCTTGCTCCTAGTAGCGATGGCAGGAGCCGCTAGTAGCGCCCTTGCTCCTAGTAGCGATGCCAGGAGCCCTTAGTACCCTAAGCCTCCAAGAAGCTCAGTTTTGGAAGCTAGGTTTTGAAACCTAGCTTCGAAGCTCTAAAACCTGGCTTCCCCAAAAGTAGGCTTCTAGAGGTTGAAGAAGAGCTTCTTCAAAATTGAAGAAGCGCTTCTTTGATGTGCGAAGAAGAGCTTCTTCAAAGTTAGAAACAATAGTTTTTTAGACATGGAACACATGCATTGTGCAGCAAGCTACATGTTTTCCTTTGCGCATGGAGTAAGATGTCAGTCAGTGAAACATCGAAATGTTGGCCTTGCTCAGGCTCAGGATTGCCTTGGTCAGGCTCAACATTGGCTGTGTAGGGCCAAGATGGATCAAGTGCCTGCTTCAGGCTCAAGGATGCCTAGCCAAGGTTCATTGCTCATGAATGACAAAAGAACTTTCTCTGCATCTGACCCAGCATTTGGAGAGCCCCCTCTTCTAAAGAAGTAGGATTGAATTTTGCTTCCAAATGTTTCATCTTTGTAGTTCCATGTGTCTTTTGGGTTCATACCCTCACCAGCAACTTTGTCAAGGATGTGCCCCAGCAAGTGCACCTTGGGCTTGGCATGCCACAGGTTGCTGTCAGAGTCGAGTTTGGTGTGATATTTTTCCAAAGCCATGTACTGGCTCACCAGTTTTTCACCTTGCTGTGCAAGCTCTGCAGGGTTGAAGACCTCGAGGTGGTGGTGCATCTTGGTGGCATATTTTGCCACCTTGTAGATGGCCTTTTGTTCAAGGTTGCCTTCGTGCAGGCTCTTCTCTCGACAAAGAGGTTCTAAAAGGACAGCAAAATGCCTCATGGCTGAAGCTTTGACCTGCAGCTCTGGTGCCTTCTGGTCTCTTTTTATGTCTTTGTATGTTAATTTGGACAATCTTTTGTCTGATGGGATTTTCAACCTCCCATACAGGTCAAGGATGTGTTCCCACAATCCTTTGATCTGCTGTTCCTTATTGGCGCCATATCCTGGCAAAAGACTGTACAATATGTTCCCTGCCACACAGGATCCAAAACCTTCATCCACACAATGCATCCAATCTGGCTGCAATGAATTGTTGTCGATGCCTGGGAGATGGAAGATTGGTGGGATTGTTTTCTTCCTTCCAACAAGATGTTTACTGATGAAGTCTGCCTTACTCAGGCTCTGCTTGTGTCGCTGCTCCTTGGAGGATGCTCTCCACTCTTCAGGGGTGCAAGCACACATCCAACACATCCCAGTTTTTACATTGAATTGTGGCACTGCCAGCCACTTACAAAAGAAGTCCCAGTCGGCTCTGATGTAAACCAGGGCAGCCTTGCTCAGGCTCTGGCCTGCCCTGTTCTGTCTGGAGTCATCTTGATGTGGCAAGAACTCTGACCCATCACGTCTTGCAGTGGGATGCTTGCCTTGGCCCAGGCTCTCCAAACTCCACTTGATGACCTCCCAAATGGCATTGATTGTTTGATCTCCAGCATTCCATTGGGCATCCAGGCAGCATATTGGAATCCTCTTGTGTGCCTTGCCCAGGCTCCCAGGGAAGTTGAATGTCAGGAAGTCCACAGTGGATTGATTCATTCTGCCTTGCACAGGCACACCATCTCCATGGATTGCCAAAGGCACCATGCCTTGTGCAGGCTCTTCCCACGCCAAGCACACTCTCCTCAGCTTGTTTTCCAACCATGTCCCCCTAGCTGGGATTGCTTCATCCTTGGCACCTGGCAAGGCCATGTACTGGCTCAGCGCTTCATGTGGCAGCAAAAATGGGATGGAACCCAAAAAGATTGTTTTCTTCTTTTTGTCCCACAGAGGGATTTTGGCCCAATACAAGTCACCCCATTGGTTGTCTTTTCTCATCCACCTTCTAAAGGTTCTTAAGGCAGTTTTGTTTCGATTGCCTTCCTCAGGCTCAGCAGGAGCTTGATGCCCAATGACCC